CCCCCCCACCCATGCTGCCTTCCACCCTGCCCGACGCTTTCGCTGGTAACCCGACGAAATCAACCATTCCTCTCCGGTTCATCGGGGACGCGAGGGCCTCATTCCAACGAACACATGGCCATCAAGATGTGGCGGTGATTGCACTGCATTCGACCCACCCCCATCCCTGTCCGCTCCTCGCTCTCTGCCTCTGTCTCTGTCTCCCTCTCTCTGTCTCCCTCTCTCTGTCTGTCTGTCTCAGCGCACCCTTCCAGCACCCTGCGAGATGAAACGGTCGTAGTTCTGGCGAAGCGTCTTGCGGAGGAAGTCGATGTCGGACTTGGACCTGACGCTGCTCTTCAGCTGCTCCATCTCCTGGTACGCATGAGCACATGAACACACGGATCGCCACGAGAACGAGCCACGAAAGAACAGGGTGTTTCAACGGTGGGTGTGGAGAAGGCGGGTGGTTGGGGGAGGTCATTGCCATTCATACCGTGTGGTTTCCGCGGTCTGCAGCGGTATGTTGAATCTAGTAAAATCGGGTGTCGAGAAGGACAAGCATCCGAGCGAAGGAGAATGGGCATAAAAAGCGTCAGCACGGAGACAGCGGCATACCGTACCGGACACGCAGGCTGAGCGCAGATGGGCCCAAGGTCGACTACGCCTTTGTACTTCATCGCTGGAACTGAAACGTGCCCCCTCCTTCTGCGTCGGCGCTTCCGTTCGCACCTAGACTCGACGCACGTACTCCCGTCTACCTGAACTCTCGTTTAACACGCTGGCTGACTACACGGCCTCTTCAATTGCAACAAGCGTCCCTTTACACATGGGGGACAGAGAAAGAGGTATAGGCAAGCCCGAACAGCAGGCGCGACGCCCCAACATGATCGGGGCACCTTACCTCCGCTATAGATCAAACAAAAAGCCAGCCAGCGGTAGTCTAAATAACCATTTGATTTCGGCTTCTGAAAGCCTCACTCATGACACGCCGATTCCCGTCTCTGCTCGCTCTCTCTCTGGCCTCTTTTCGCGTGGTCTCACCGTAATCAGATCGTGGTCGACCCCGTCCTCCTCGTCGCTCTCGTTGTCCTCGTTATTGAGCTGGAAAGCCAGGCCCCCGGCGCCGAAAACGCCATGGCTAGCGGTCGCCTGTTGGCGGCGGCGGCGGCGGCGGGCGAAACCACCGGGGTGGATAGACAGCGGTAGATCCGATCAAGTTTTCGCTGTATTTGATATGTTTTAATACTATGCATGGGCTGAGCTTGGGGATCCCAGTGACTGAGATGCCACGCACAGGGTGGAGACGAAACTTGTGCACGAGTGAGCACACAGTCGCGTGCAGTTTCTTTCTGGTCTCTCTCGCCCATCTCATAGTTCTGTTTTCTTCTTCTTCATGCCATGCCAACGAACGAGTCCTTCCGTCTCAAGCACAGCCCCCCCCTCCCCCCAATCCTCTGCAACTGATCGGTCGGACGCGTCTGCAAACAAAAGAAGAGATAGACACGCTCCCCTGCCCGGGCCGTTCTCAAATCAGACTGCCTGAAGCAAACTTGGACGCGTAAATCGCGCGAAGTATCGTTCACCTAAAAATTATGCTCCGAGGGAGAGCTCAGACCGACGTCGGGTTTAACGCCTTCTGTGGTTTGCTTGACGGTGGTGTGGTGTGGGTGCGGGTGGGATTGTTAAGCTGGCTGTGTGCCTTCTATCTTCTTAGATACTGCTGTCTACTCTCCGGGACAAGACGGTCGTTGAGCCGTTCTCGCCCTTGTGTCCCTCACTCTCACCCTCACTCTCTCCCCAAGCCCACCCTTGCCCTTACACGTTGCCCTTCAGTCCTATGCGCTCTGTCCGTCAAGTGTATGTGTACCAAGGCAGAGATACATACAGAGACATAAGAGAGAGAAATGTAGGAGACGGACGGAGATAGACAAGAGGGAGGAGGAAAGAGGCGGACCATCGGGACCATAGGCAACACGCCAAACACCCCCGAGACTCTTCCCAAGAGACTATTCCCACCGACCTTCGTGGCGAAGCCAGAGGTCACCCCGGCCGCGAGGCAGGCTCTCGCGTCCTCTTTCCCTCCGGAAGAAGCAGCACCAACACCAACACCAACCTCGCCACCGCTTCCGCACTCGCACGCGGCATGCGCTGCCGTCTCCTCCGGGTTGGTCTTGCGGTGTTGCTTCTTGTTGTGTCCGTGGACGGGCTCCCTCACACCAACCTTGCCCGTCGCAGCAGCACCAGGAGCGCCGACCGCGGCATTGCCATTGATCGTGCGGCGGCCCAGCACACCAGACCTGTCGCCGCTATGCCGACCGGTGCTTGTCGCAACCGCCGCTGCCGCCGCCTTTGGTTTCCCTTGAGCACCACCCTCACCACTGCCGCTAGAAGCCGCGGACGCCGAGAGCTGGATCTGGGCCTTCCCCGCCCGCTTCCTCTCCTTGCGCTTCTGGCGCCGCTTCTGGCGCCGTCCCTCCGCCGCGCACTTCTCCTCGTGGTCTATCGCCATCAGATCGTCGCCGTGCGGGGCCGCGCCGTGGGCGGCGAGCATCGTGCGGACCGCGTCCACTACCAGACAAAAAAGGTACTGGAGGCGGAGAAGTGGTCCAAGCACGGAGGAGGAGGAGGAGGAGGAGGAGGAGGAGGAGCGCGTGGGCACGGAGGGTTAGAGAGGGACGGGAAGGGGGACGGGAAGGGGGGGGGCGAGAGGGTTTACGTAGCTGCTTCAGGAATAGCGGGCCGAATTGTTGCTTCACAAGAATCTCACGTGTAAAAAATATGAGGAAGCAGTGAGACGACATGCAGCAGTCGCGACGTCAAGACTGGTAGCCGCTAGCAGGGGGGCGGCACAACAGCAACGCCTTGCGGCGGAACCCCCACAAACGACACGACGGTTGAGAACGGCCTTCCGAAACCAACTCCCACGCCGGCGGAGGCGGCGGCGGCACCAGCAAGAAACGCGCCGATCAACATCAACCACCAACAACAAAAAACGCTAACAACAACAACAAGGTCCGATCGGCGCACCGAAAAACTCCTGAGTGACCTTCCTTCTTCCGGTGGAACCCCCGCTGGTCCTCCAAACATGTACATCGAGAGGTGCGTAGGTAGACTGGCGCCAGAATAATAGGGACGAAAACACAAACACAGACACATACCT